GAGGCAGTCTTTCTGGGTTGGCACCAGTAAGGGACTGGCCCAGGCCCGGAGCTCAGAGCTCCAGCTGACAGGCCTGTGGTGGAAGCAGCCTGGGCAGCAGACCAGCCCGAGGACCCACCCAATCAGTAGCTCGGGCCTGGCCCAGCACTGCTCAGCCACATGGGCAGAATAGCCCAGAGAGCAAGAGTGTTAGGTCTGGGCTGCCCGGGCGTGCTGCGGGGCGGGCAGGGGATGCAGCAGCCCCGGGGGCTGGGAGCCGGGGGCCGTGGCTCACACGATGTTGTGCTCCTCCACCCGCTCCCCCAGGTAAAAGCGGCTGAAGAGGAAGCGGCTCAGGTCGATGGTCTGGAAGTGGCCCTCCAGCACCATCTCGGCCACGGCACGCCCCACTGCAGGGGCCTGCAGGAGCCCGTGTCCACTGAAGCCCGCGGCAAAGTACATGTTGACGACCAGGGGGTGGGGGCCCACCACGCCATTCTGATCGAAGGTGTTGTAGTCGTAATAGCCAGCCCAGGCACGCCGGACCTGCGGGTGCACAAGACCCGTACCTATCCCTGTGGGCGGGCAGTGCCAGGTACCTCTCCTGCCGCTGGGGGTTCTGAGAGTAAAGGCCCCAAGACCCCGGCAGGTGTGGGCAGGGGGCGGCGGGGCAGATGCTCCTGGGCACCGACAACCCCCGCTAGTTACCTTCAGAGCCTCAAATGCTGGCACCCGCTGGGCCAGATGGGGCCACACCTGGTCCTGGAAGAAATCCTGGTCCACCTCCAGGTTCCCGGGGTCCGGCTCCTCCTCCTGCACAAGGGGTAGGACAAGGTTGCTGCTGCAGACCCGGGCGGCAAGAGGGGGGTGGAAGTGATGCCAGTTCAAGCCCAGAGAGGTGCAGACCCACCACCAGTGCTGGGCCTCCAAGGAGCCAATGGACCCCTCCTGCCAGCTGGGCACCCCTGCCCCGCCCACCTCAGAGGGGCTGCGGCCGCCGAGGTAGTTGTTGCCTAGTCCTTCTGGGCGGAAATAGGCCCCACTAGTGTCGATGACGAACGGGGTTTCCAGGCCAGGTCCCTGGGGGCAATGCCACAGGTACGCATACCTGCCACACAGCAGGGTCATGGCACAGCCAGTCTGGCAGCCCCCGGCACCCCTGCCCCCACACAGAAGAGTCACTCTGTCCCTCCCGTGCCCGAGCTGCCTGGGGAGTCACCTTTTCCTAGGCTCCACTGGGAGCTTCGTGCCCTGCAGGGTGCCGGGTGGGCCCTGCCCGATCCCGGCCAGCTCTGCGACCTGCCCAGACCAGGCTCCTGCCGCGTTGACCACCAGGGCACACTCCACAGGCTGGTACTCCAGGCTGTGAGCCATCTTCACCTGCAGGCACGGTGCTGAGGGCTTAGACCGCACTGGACCGGAAAGCACGCTTCTTCCTGGCCCTCAGTCTACCCACAATGGAGGGTGGCTAGAGGGGACCGAAGAAAGGGCGGTGGCTTCCGTCCTGCCGCTACCACGCTGGGACCAGGGACTTACGTGGACTTCGTGGATCCTCCTCAAGACCATCTCCGCCCCACCCGCAGTCTGCATGCAGCTGGACGAAGAGACAAAGCCTACAGGCGAGAGAGGAGGAGCCCTGAGGGCCTGAGAGGAAGAAATGGGGTCCTGGGTCCATCAGGGAAGAATGCTGGAAGGAAGGAGGTGTGCCCAGACACAGAGCACACAGGGTGGGTCAGAGCGCGGGCAGCCAAGGCCACCTGTGGCAGGACGGAGGCCCCAGCAGGACCCGAGGGCCCAGCCCCACTCCTCCCTCGGTGCGCGGCACTACTCCAGCACTGCAGGCCCTGACTCACGCATCACCTCTCCTTGGCAGAAGAGCACTCCCATGGACCGGATCTTGCGCCTGAGCCCCTGGAGCAAAGACCAGGGGTCGAACCAGCCTTCATTCTCCAACCCTGTGCAGAGAGAGCCAGCTTGGGAGTGGGACAGGGCCCTCCCCTCCTGCCCTTTAGGGCAGGACCAACCCTGCGCAGAGAGAGCCAGCTTGGGAGCGGGACGGGACCCTCCCCTCCTGTCCTCTAGGGCAGGAGAGGCAGGGAGGGCACCTCGGC